ATCATCTTCTACCTTCCTCTGGAAGGCATTCTTTTTTATATTTGAGTACAGACTACCTTTACCTTCCATTAGCATACTTGAATTCATTTATTTTTATATAAGAAGAAATTATAAGTTAGACAATGCTTTCTCCTGATTTTAAAAGCCCTTCTATAATATTCTTTTATTTCCAAGTCTGTGGAATTTTAATCTAGAATAGTGGACCATGTTGATATTATTAACTTATTATTATTTTCTGTCTTTATATAGATCAATTTGATTCTCATTGCATTTTGTTTCATACAATTGTTTTGTAACCACTACACTTAACCTAATATCATTCCTACTGATAATCTTTAGTCCATACATTCTTAAGTTTTGTAAAAAACGTGTCTTCCTATGTTATGCACACATACAGTCATATGCTTTTATACAAATGCATAAACAGCATCCTGTGCCCATCAGAAATTCTCTTTATGTGTTGTACAGTCTTTTTTTCCATGTGCCCACTCTTCCTTATTACTCAACAATACCTTATGGTCTTCCCTCCAATCAACTAGTGTGATGCCAATTCATTATTACCATGTGCACATAATATTTTAAGAAGTGGCTGTGCTATTCACACATTGAAAGTTTTCCATACTGGTATACTTTCTCAATACATTGCTATTATAACAATTATACAAAAATATTCTGACATTGTTACATTAAAACTCTGGTTCTCCACCAGAGGTAGTATTGTTTTCCAGGAGACATTGAGCAATGTCCAGAGACATTTTGTCTGTCACATGGGAGGTGCAGATAGAATCCAGTGATGCACAGGAGAGACCACACCACAGACAATGATCTGGCCCTGAATGTCAATGTGCAGAGATTGAGAAACCATGACTGAAAGAATATATGTATTTGTAATAGCGTCTTCAGATTGGTTTGCCACTGTTGTAACATGTTATAGTTCTGCTAGAAAAGAAAAAAGACTACCCCTTTGCTACCTGTTTGAAAGTTCCAACCCCAGTCAATGTGACAACTTTTTAAGTTTTTGCCCAGGCTTACAGGTCTGCAAAAATTCGTTGTTGTTTCCTGAACTTTTTCTAAGTTTGATCAGTTATATATTTGTTGTTCTTTTAAATTGGAATATTATTATTATATGCTTTTATTGTTCCATTATTAGCATTTAAAATATTTTTAAAATTATTATGGTGGGGTAGGTAGAAGAGAGTAAAGGGGAGATAAATGGTGATGGAAAGAGGCTTAACTTTGGGTCCTGAGCACACAATACAAAATACAGATGATATAGAATTCTAAACCTGAAACCTATACACTTTTATTGATTGTCACCCCAATAAATTCAATACAATTTTAAAAATAAAAAAGTATTATTTTTCAATTGGCTTGTTTTGGCCATAAAAATGTTTTACATTTTATTTAGTTAAAGATGTCTGTCTTATTACTTTTGAGGCTCCTAACTTAATTACAATGGTTTGGCCCATCCATAATCATTAATATGCAGTTTTCTCTATGTTCACCTAAAAAGGATTGGATACTCTCACAGTGAGTAGGCAATCCCTTTGATTTTTTGTAACATGACTAGTATAGGGGATCAACTTCATTTTCTTCCAGGAAAATATTTATTCTTCCAGGTTTATTCAACAATTTAATCTTTTCAAAAATATTGAATTGCAACCTTACCTTGTGTTAATATGTACTGAGCCCTAATTCCTGATTTATTCAACAAACAATAATGGAGCATCTGCTATTTTCCTCTATTTCTAGGAACATTATAGATTATCTTCTACTAGAGGCCTGGTGCACCGATTTGTGCACTGGTGGGGTCCCTCGGCCTGGTGCTCTCTTGCAATCTGGAACCCCTTGGAAGATGTCAGACTGCCAGTTTTGGCCTGATCCCCACAGGCCAGGCCGAGGGACCCCACCAGTGCATGAATCTATGCACCAGGCCTCTAGATCTTTGGTTAATCTCTTCCCACCCTTCCCCTTTCCCTCGGAGATTCACAGTCTGTTCCATGTTTCCATGCCTGTGCATTGAGCATTTGCCCCCTGGTGGTCAGTGCACACCATAGCTACAGATGGAAGGATCAAATGGTTGAAAGGTCGAATGGTCGTGTAGGCTTTTATATATATACATGTTTATGTCTTTGCCAATTAATTACTAATCTATATTGGTGTCACTAAATTATTGCTATTTTACACCTTGTTTCTGTTACTTTTTGATGCTAAGCTCAATTTTCTTTAATTGATTTCAGTTGCTTTAAAATTACTCTGTTTAACCAGGTTTCATTCTCCCTGTCATTTCTTTAATTTCATAACTTCACATTTACTTAAATGTGTTCTTATTTAAATGCACATATATTCACAGACATTTGTGAAAAAACAAAGGCGAACAAAGGTGAATTCTTGCTTGTTTGGATCTGGCACAATGAAGTCAGAGTACAATGAAATAAATGTTTGTATGAGAAGGTGCTCAAGCTAAATTATATGAACAAAGTTACTCAGTGTAGAAGGATGGCTCCTCAGGGTGTGTGCAGGATTTATTGATCATGTCCTGGGAGGCCTTTGCATGTTAGATGAAGACTGGAACCAGAATTAGACTGTGCCAATTGATTTGTCAAAAATGAGGTCAAAACCCAAACTCCAAGAAAAACAATGATGCCACATTAGAAAAGTAAGAAAGGGGCTTGTCTCATCTGCCATCAACTACATAAAAACCTACTGTAACTGGACAAACAATGGGTCCATGCTGCCTGATACTACTTGAGTCAATTAAGCAAAGACAGGGTTGAATCATATATGAGCATTTTTTCCAGGACTGCAGGTAGTATGGAAAAGCAGGAGGTTATCCACAAAAATCTGCTAAGCACCCCACTATAAGCCAGCTGCTTTTATTGGGTAAAAGTACAAAGATTACATGTGGAAGTAGCCAAAGGGTATGCCAAATGGGCAGTTAACAGGTTAGCTGGCTGGAGATTTGCAAAGGCCTGCAGGTATGCAAATGGGCTGGAGAACTTCAAAGGGCTTAGTGATATGCAAGGGCTGGGGTCTTCAAAGGGCTGATGGCTCTGGTTTTTGCAACAAAGTTGTTGATCTTTCCATGGTAATAGGCAGCATCTCCAGGTGAGTTCTCAGGTCCCCTGTGAGCAACTGCCAGCCAGGTTATAGAACAAAGCACTCACAGTTAACAGTTCATGATTAACATTTCTTACCATTCTAGCTAGTCCCCCAACATTCTATTTCTGCCCCTATCACTACTGGTCAAATAAATAGAGAAGAGGCTCAGGAAAAACCGGTCTTCTGCTTGATGTTAAAAATATTCAACTGTGTTGTTTTTGTTCATTTCCTTTGGTGAGTTATTGGTTTATATTTTGGCAATTTTTCCTTTGTGTTAGTCAACCTGTAAGTTGTTTCATACCATATATTTATAACTACCTCTGTCTTTTGGAGAAATTTATTTTTTCTCATTTATTATTTTTGCTTGGCCTCAAGGGGGTGTTATTAGGGTTAGAAAGTTGCTAGAATCCAAAGAAAATTTTCCTTCCTCATCATCTCTCAGGGACCAGCTGAGCTCATTAGATCTCTTTTCTTCCTCATGTGCATTTTATTGCTCTCTCTCCTGCTATGTTTATTTAACCTATGTTTATGTTTAAATACAGGGCAGAGAATAGACATAGCCATTCGAAATCTCAAGCATATTTGTCCATGGGAAGCTTATGATATGAATATCGAGGTACTGTCTCTAAATTCTTTTTGGGAAAGATACTTGTCTGGACAGCTTGACTGGTATTTACTCCTAGACTACATAGTGTGGAATGGAGTGAGAAAGACATGGAAATAGCACAGATGAAGAGGCCTTGTGTGTGTGTGTGTGTGTGTGTGTGTGTGTGTGTGTGTATCTGCCTGCCTTATAAACTGAGAGAAGTCCCTAGAACAGAGGTACCTGGACTCTATTCCAATGTGACTCTAATAGCAAGAGAAGATAACAGGAGGAAATCCTTTTTGATCCTCTGGGTGCGTTTGCTACTAGATTAATAAAGTGAAACACTTACATAGTGTGCACAAGACATCTTGTACGACTTGAAGTTTCAACAGCAACATGCAGGTTACCTTGTTCTTACTATTCTCTACACCATCTCTCACCCTGCTCTTTCTTGCTCATTCCTCTCGATACACTAAATCAATGTGTGCATTTGTTTTTCTAAAACAACCATCTTCTCAGGGTCTTTGCACTGGCTATTCCTTTATGCCTGCCAAGAACTTCCCCCTTAGTCTCCAGCTTATTCGTCTTTGACGTGTCTATTTAACTTGCCTCTTGGCAAGTCTTGGCTAAACTCTATTTTAAAAAAAACACCCTCTACCCACTCTCTCCATTTAATGTGATTTTCTCTTCTTTATAGCATCTGTACCATTGGTTATGTTATATTATCATTTTTATTTGATTAAATTATTTCTTCATCATTAATTTGTAGAGTCTTTTATTTTAAGCATTCCCATACTCTGAACAGTGCCATGAACATAGTCTATAGTCAACATGCAGGGTGTCTCCCCAAAATATATACACACTGTACAAGCTGATAGGTCAATTTTGAAAATAAAATGCATTTTAATAAACACTGCCTTTATAATTACTCAAAGTGTGGGTTACACTTTTGGGACACCCTATATAAACTTCAAATGAATGAGAGATATCTTCAATAAAACAGCAATATACATTATGTTGGAAGAATTGATTGATGGAAAAAGGAAAGTCTAATGAGAAATGGCAACAGAGATGATTTATGGGAACCAGACATACACCAAATATGAAAATTATTTTCCTGATTCTAAAATGTAAATGTGTCATTTATTCTGTTACTAAATCTTGCTAATGTGAAAATGTGTTTTGTCTATTTTCTGATAGTCACCTCTGACACATGGAACCAGGCAATGATACGCAAATATCAGAATTCCTTCTTCTGGGACTTTCACAGGCACTGGAACTACAGCCCCTCATATTTGGGACGTTCCTCTCAATGTATCTAATCACTGTGTTTGGAAACCTGCTCATCATCCTGGCTGTCAGCTCAGACTCCCACCTCCACACACCCATGTACTTTTTCCTCTCCAACCTGTCCTTGGTAGACATCTGTTTCACCTCCACCACCATCCCAAAGATGCTGTGCAACATCCAGACACAGAGTAGAGTTATAACCTATGACGGTTGCATTACTCAGATGTATTTTTATACACTTTTTGTAGTGTTGGACAACTTTATCCTGACTGTGATGGCCTATGACCGCTTTGTGGCCATCTGCTATCCCCTGCACTACATGGTCATCATGAACCCCCAGCTCTGTGGACTGCTGGTTCTGCTGTCCTGGATCCTGAGTGCCATAGTTTCCTTGCTACATAGCTTAATGGTGTTGAGGCTGTCCTTCTGCTCAGACTTGGAAATCCCCCACTTTTTCTGTGAACTCAATCAGGTGGTTCAACTTGCCTGTTCTGACACTTTTCTTAACAACTTTATGATATATTTTTTACTTGTGCTACTTGGTGGTGGTCCCTTTGCTGGGATCCTTTACTCTTATTTTAAGATAGTGTCCTGTATACGTGGAATCCCATCAGCTCAGGGGAAGTATAAAGCATTTTCTACCTGTGCATCTCACCTTTCAGTTGTCTCCTTATTTTATGTTACGAGCCTAGGAGTGTATCTCACCTCTGCTGCTACCCAAAATGCACAGTCAAGTGCAATAGCCTCGGTGATGTACACCGTGGTCACACCCATGCTGAACCCCTTCATCTACAGTCTGAGGAACAATGACATAAAGAGGGCCCTGGAAAGATTCTTTGGCAGGTAAGCTTTTCAAGGGCCAAGTGTACTAGTCTGAAGAAGTGACCATGAATGAAGGGTTCAAAGCCTCAGAGCTCTATTATTTTCTGAGACAAATTAATCCAATCTTTTGACCATACATAATTGGAAATTCTCATCTCATGGGTTAACATGAATTCCTTTAGCATAATTTATTCTCTTATGGTATACTATCATTCAAG